TATGTGATTCTCAATATTCTAATCTTTTCTTGAATTCTATTTCTCTTTCTGTGGATAAACAGTTGTTCTACAAAATAATAGCATTAGGTGTTAAAGTCAACTTCAAGACCTATTCAATATTGTTCAAAAATCTTTTAGCTGCTGGAAATTGGAGAAAATATATTGAGGTGATGTTTCTATCTTTTTCCTGAACTTAAGTGTGAAGTTTCTCTGGTTACTATTAATTTTCTAATTTATAGAGTATGGATTCATTTATTTTAGTATTTGCACATCTGGTGTAATGGCCTGGGTTTTACCACAAAACCACTTGTCATGAAGCAGTCTAACTCTAGCAATGTCCAAGACAGGGACTAAATACAAACAGGCATGTAAAACTAGCATGCTAATCGCTAACCCTGCTAAAAATTCAAAGTACAAAGCTCAAGGTCACGTCTTTAGGCTAAGGCTGTCACTATTCACATGACACTTGCATGCATGAGAGGACACCCAATTCTTATAGAAAGACAGAAGTACATCAAAGCCATATGAAGTTTTGCCATGAGTGTATTGTATCTATTGGGAAACTATGGTATTGATCAAGATTTGTTAGTTATCAAACATTCAAGTTTCTTGTGCCTGTTCTGAAGCTTTGTTGACTGTAGGCCATTCCTGGCTAAATGTTCTTAATTAATGATTCTTAAAATATCGACCAAATCCATACGTAGGTGCTGCAGTGGATGGAGGATGCTGGAATTCAACCTTCAGATGGGATGTTTGTTGATATAGTCTCCTTTGCACAAAAAAGTGTTGGGGCTGAATATGCAGCTATAATAGAAGAAAGAGTTGGTAAGATGAATTTTCTTTTCATGCTTAAAGAAGCATTATTTGGGAATGCATGTTTAGGCCCAATGTGTGGGATGCACGTTATCTTTTTAAGATATACTTGACTTAAACTTGTGTTCCAAGATAATTATTGAAGCATATGATTAGGTTGACATTAGTTTTTGGTTGCATTTTACTCATAAAAGCAACTATAGTGGGATGACATTGACATGGTCCTTGGTTCTTTTTCCGGGCAGACAGGCTCAGTGAATTTTAGGTTTTGCAATTACATATGGCTGGGTAACATGAGTAGGAATAAAAACTTCTTTAAATCTCTCCATTTTTCAGTATCTAATGAATGATGAGAGAGAAGAAAATAGAAAAGGATCTTTTGCAATTTAAGTTGTGAAATAATGACATGATTGTAGGGGTTGATGTGCTTTAATGAGAAATGAGAGTAAGGGAGGGCAGCCGGGAAGGAGTCATGGATAATGTAGTAATGTGAAAGTATGATAGCAGAAAGGAATTGGGTTTTTTGAAAGTTAAAACTTATATCTGCCATTGAATTTATTGCCCTGCTGAACATCAAATTCTTGTTATTAAAAAGAGATTGTTTACGACTGCCTTTTCCTACATCTTATCTGAGCACCCTTGCAGTGTTTTGAATTGTTGAGTCACATTGTCCTTATAAACATAAATATTTTACAACATATCTTCATTCCACTGCACTGCTTCTATATACACACAAGTATGCTCCCTGTACTTTTCTGATTCTCATCTGATTAGAGCTGATCATGAAGATGTATTTGAAGGTTCGTTTTTCCCAAAATTCATCAATACTTTTTGTCATTAAACAGAATCCTTGAGAAGAAGAGCTCCGAACCAAAATCAAAATTCTAGCAGTATGTCAAGTTCTCCTCTTCCAACCTCCCCATTGATTGTTGGTACAGAAGTTTGAAGCACTAAACTGCTAGAGTGGGCTTACAGCAGATTATGCATATTCAGAGTGTTGCAGGATCAGCTAGTCTCAGGGTATTATCAAGATTGAAGCTTTATTAAAGCCAAACTATACGTTCCAATCTTGAGAAGGGTGGGGATGAGTTTTCTAAAAGTGCAAGGCCATCTTGAGTTTTACAGCTATATATGCCTGGTCATTATGTATATGCTTTTTCTTCATTGTAATTATATATCAGTCCAAAGAACAATGGGAGAAAAATGAGAAATTTCAACAAGCTAAAGCAAACCCTCAAGTCTCAACCTTCCCAATTCTCCTTTTTTTTTTTTTGGCAGTAAAACAATGTTGTCCGGGACATTGAGTAGCGGGCCCAACGGGAATACAAATTTCTTTGGCCCAATTCTCAAAACGACACCGAAATGTTTAGTGTGCAAAAGGACGACTTTGGAATTACCTATCTATCCCCACGCATTCCTAGCCGTTACAGCTCAAATCACCGCCAAGGACACTCCCGTAAATTCACCAATCTCAGAACTAGTGAAAACAAATACTCTCTTCCCTTTAGCCTGCAGCTCACTCCCACTCATTCTTTCTACCGTTCCTCCTCTTCGGATTTTTCTTTCTGCTTTTGTTTCCGTTTCCGGTAATGGCATCGACATCATCTTCCGATCCTGGATTCAAAGTGGAAGCTGGTGGAGGAGAGAATTCAGAGACAGTGATGGCCAATGATCAGCTGTTACTTTACAAGGGACTCAAGAAAGCCAAGAAGGAGAGAGGTTGCACGGCCAAAGAACGCATCAGTAAGATGCCGCCCTGCACGGCTGGTAAACGCAGCTCCATTTACCGTGGCGTCACCAGGTAATTGAAATTCAAACAGACAAACTTCCTTCCTTAGTGTCTTCATAACTGAATTTGACTAACTCTGGCTAGCTTTACTCAATTTCGATCTCGGTATGGTTGCTGAAAGGGTACTGAATTTGAAAATCAGGTGTTGGAGTTAATAGTAAATGCAAATGGCTGAATGGATTTGGAGGTTTGCATTTCTTTTTTTTTTTCTTTTTTTTTTAAAGCTTGATGACTGACTCAGTAGAAGGAAAAGTTGGGAATTTTGATTGTTTTAAGTTTGGATTTTTTTTGAAGGATGAGTTCGATTTGATTGAATTATCGTAATAATTTCTAATTATACTTCTTTTAACAACTGCAGATATGCTTCTGTATATGGGTTTCTTGCTTTTTCCTTAATATTTTCTCTTTGGGTGCTTTTCACGTACCTGTTTCACGTATCATTTTATCTTAAAATGTAAATTTATAATTTATAATAATTTTTTATATACTTTAACTAATCTTAATTAATATTTATATATTTTTGAGATAATAAAAGACATCATAGCACAGTACTAACAAACGAAGCTGTTCTTATTTTTCTTTTAAAAGTAGTATATAATGTAGATCCATTAGTTCTTATACATGCTAATATATTTCTTTTGTTTTGATGTCTGTATATATTAGGCATAGATGGACTGGTCGCTATGAAGCTCATCTTTGGGATAAAAGTACATGGAATCAAAATCAGAATAAGAAAGGGAAGCAAGGTCTTATCTTTCTAACTGTTTCTCTGAATACACATTTAGTTTTGAGTTAGCAACATGAAACATCATGGACTTGTATTTGTTCTCATGGAAGCTGACATTATTTCTATCCTTCTGTTGTGCTTGGGATGGTTCTCGTCTGAAACACTCTCAGTTTACTTGGGTAAGTCAATGGATTCATGACTGAGACTTGTTCATTGATTTTTGTTTTTATTTTGTATTTATCACGTAATGTATATTTACAGGAGCATATGACGATGAAGAGGCCGCAGCCAGAGCGTATGATCTTGCTGCTTTAAAATATTGGGGTCCTGGGACACTAATTAACTTCCCGGTGAGATAGCTTACATATGCTTTGAACCGAAAAAACTTTGTCCAAAGTTGAATTTTTAAAGTGTGAAGTTATATGCAGGTTACTGATTATACCAGAGATCTAGAAGAGATGCAAAATGTTTCAAGAGAGGATTACCTCGCATCTCTTAGAAGGTGTGTAAATTGAAGGATTACCTTGAATGCTTCAACTAAATAAGTTGTTACTTACAGTACAGTACATTTCTCTGCAGAAAAAGCAGTGGTTTCTCAAGAGGAATCTCTAAATGTCGCAGTCTTTCCAGGTAGGATTGGCATAACATATTCAATACGTTTGGCATGATTTGTTTATTAACATTACGTTTCTTCTTCCTCTTTTGCATTTTGTTTCAATATTTGGTTATAAATTTATGGCTATCACAAAATAGTCGGTGGGACTCATCATTTGGTCGTGTTGCTGCATCTGAGTACCTCAATAGAATACATTACAGTAAGTTACAATAACCCTTCCTGGCAAGCGTGATTGCAAATTTACGTAGGACGAATTCTGTAAAGTCAGTCCCTTTTTTAACTTGTTTCTTCTATCACCAGATTTGATTTTGATCACATGATAAATTCCCTAAACTAGTATCTTATTAATTCTTGCAGGTGATGATCCAGCAACAGGAAGTGACTTCTTAGGTGGTTTTTGCAATGAGAGAAATATTGATTTAACAAAGTACATTAAGTGGTGGGGAGGCAACAAAACTCGCCAACCAGAACCTGCAAAATCAACAGAAGAAACAAAACTTGCCTGCCCAGAAGACATTGGTCATGAACTTAGAACATCAGAGTGGGCAACAAAGCCAACTGAACCATTCCAGATGCCCCATCTCGGCATCTCCATTGAAGGAAAGAAACGCAAAGGGTGCTCTGTCTCTGCTTTGAGTATCTTATCACAATCTGCTGCCTACAAGAGCTTGCAAAGGAAAGCATCAAAAAAGCAAGAAAACAACAATGAGAATGATGAGACTGAAAATAAAAATACAATAAACAAGATGGATCCTGGCAAAGCAGCAGAAAAACCAGTGAGTCATGACAGTGGGAGTGATGGACTGGGAGCCACATTGGGGATGAGTGGTGGATTGTCTCTTCAAAGAAACATGTTCAACTTGACTCCCTTCTTGTCTGCACCACTCCTAACCAACTACAATGCCGTTGACCCCTTGGTGGACCCGATCCTTTGGACATCTCTAGCTCCTGTTCTTTCCACGGGGCCTCCTCGTAATTCAGAGGTTAGTATACCTGCTGTGAAAGTTGTGTTTTTAGATTGATTGGAAAAGAGTTAAGGGAAAAGAAATGGCTTATTGCAAAAAACATAATTTTGATTGAATCTGTAATGAGATATAATGTAAAAGGTAACATTTTGATTAGCTATCATTGTAAATTCCACCTAGCAGAATATCATTATTTAGAAATTGAAAAGATTAACTTAATATCAAAACTGGGACTGTACTGGACAGTAACACAAGGATACTTGGGAGGAGGGCCCCAATATCAGAGGGCCTGCCCCTCAACCAAGGGTTCATGTTTTGTAGTCTGGTATTGTCTAGACAGTAAAATAATTTTTCGTTATTAGAAACAACATTGTTATTTTGCCTATCTATAGGAAGAGGAAATAGGGTGGCTCTTCTTTTGCATCTCAATGTTGTCTTGTTGTTTGATATTAAAGAGCATATTTGTTACTTAGCAGATACTTGAAGTACTTGAAATAAAGGGTATTTCTTAAAATGAAACATTAAAAGGGATTTCTACAACCCAGACTGATCAGACCCTCATAACTATATTGCTTAGAACAATTAGTTCTTTGTTCCACAATTATATCAAGACATTTTTAACAATTCCAACTAGCAGGTGATGCTATAAGATTTCTATGCAGTTTACAAAGACTGAGACCAGTTCAACATACACTTTGTTTCCACCAGAGGAATAATTGCCATATTCTGTTCATTCAACCTGGTGGAAAGTCATAAAAATTTGCTTGATTTCTGCTGTTGGAGGCTTCAGACAACAGCAGGAACACGTGACAGCTGAAGTGCCAAGTTTGTCGGTAGAAATTAGAATGAGGCTGTTGCTTATTTTCACAGGCTTGTTCTTTGTCGGGTGAGTCATTATAAGAATACAGAATGGATACCGCATGTACTGTACACTTATATTTGTAAAGCTGCTTAATCAATTTATTTTAATCTGTAATGTCATCATCATTATTCTAGCATGTATTACATTCTGCTTTATTTGCAAGACTGAGACAGTAAAAAGCATGCACTTTCACTAATCTCTGCTCTCTTCCTCTTCCTCTCCTTGTTGCCCTCAACTTCCAACCTCACACCAAACAGCTTCAGCTCCTTGTCCTCCTCTTCCTTCTCATTTTCTGCAAACTTCGTCACCAACTCCAGCAACTCTTTGCACTTCTTCTTCATGCTTGTTAGCTCTGAGCTCAGTACCCCATTTTCCATTTTCAAACGTTTGTTCTCATCCATCAGGATGTTGTATCCAGAAGACGATGAAGTTGACGAGGATCTTTGTTCTTCATCAGATTCCTGAGCTGCAACTTGCATTGGTTCCGCAATAGGTTGTTGTTGCTTGTTTGTCCATGTCTTTCTTCGACGAATATTGCATAGCAGCTCTCTTTCTCCCCTTCGGAACATTCCATTGCAGAACTCCCAGCGGCTAGTTGCAACTTTTCGAAATCCCTACATATATTCAATCACAACAAAATTATTAATACTTAAACTTATAATTTCCATAAAAGCAACACAGAAATGTTTGCATTCTACAAGTATTATATATATATATAATAAAAAATAGTTCTCTTATTTTAATCTAATTAAAGAAAAGTTATTTGCGTCAAATTGCAAGATTTACAAGGAATAACCTCTGTAAAGTCTCCCAAAAGGGATCAAACTTGTTAAGTCTGTGTTCAAACTAGTTACTGTCTAAAAATAACACAAATGTCTATATTCTTTGGTCGTATATATTAATTTAGTTAGGCTAATCCCATTCAATGACCAATTCTAAAGTCTCACTTGTCCTTTTCTTATTCATAATTCGCTTTGAAAGTATCAATATAAAACAATAAAGGCTACCTAAATTAGGTAGAAGAATATCTTGCTGTATCACCGACCTGAAAATGGATTCAAAGGCTTCCTATGACAACGTGAGACATTTTTTACACAATATCTTATTTAAAAAAGTAAATTTTTAATTTTTAATTAGTTAATTTTAATTAATTGTTTTTATATTTTTACTAATTTAATTAATATTTTATATATTTAAGATGGTAAAAGATTTTTTTTTTTTTTTTAAAAAAAAACCAATGGGTGCAGCACAACTTAGCTGAAAAACGAAGCCAAAATCTACATTGACAACCAAAGTCAATGCCAAAAAAAATTGACTATAACCCATTTTATATCTCCTTTAGATTAATTAATTTCAAAAGTTTAATTAGGGAAATTTTAGGTTATGATTAATAAGATTAATGGCATATGGAGATGTAATATGTACATACATAAGTATTGAGCTGCCGAACGAAGCTAGAGAAGTTGCTGTGCTTGAAGAGTGTAGGGAGGAGATCCCGGGCAAATTCCGCCGGCTGCCACACCACGAAACCCGTTCCGTCCCCGTTCCACGATATCACGTTATCGGTTGCCGGATCCTCCACGAGCTTATAAGTTTTCATTAAAAATGGTGGTGGAGTCGATTTTCTAACATATCCTAACAAACCCTTGTCCCCAACCGTTGGCTTCATTGAGAAATTAAACTAAGAACAATTCTTGATATATAGCGAGATATATATATATATATATATATATATATATAAGGGAAAAAATGGAGGGAAAGTGAAGGAAAACAAAAAATTTAGGAAGGATTTAAGCATAAATGGAGAAGAGAAGAAGGGCAGTTAAGAACTCCCAACCCCAACAATAGAAACCCAATACGACTCCTGAGTTCATGAGAAATGCAAGAGCTTCTCTTTCTTGTTTTCTTCTCTAACAAAAGAAATAGTTGAAACGTATGTACTAACACTACTTATATAGTGGGAAAAGATCACGGCATGCACATTCAGACTGTTGATGTAATCTATTGGATAATGTTTAGGGTTCATGTCGACCTATAAATTACTAATGGAAGAAACCTTTCTCAGCCGTCAGATCAGCTGCATAGGTTTCTTACTTGACTAGTCAACAAACAACAACATTTCTTTTAGTTGACATTTTTTGATTGGTGATTTCCTTGCCATGATTTCCTTTCTGGGGGTTATACCGTCAAATAGTATTCTGGATCAGCTTATATGCATATTAGTCAAGTTCACATCAACGATTCATTAAACGTGGCGTGAGGATCTCCTTGGTGTTTCGAGGCTTCATTCCACAAGAAAAAAGAGTTTCTAGATGCATACCAAAAAAATGTAGGAATTAGCAAGGTTTTTAAAATCGGATCGGATCGGCCGGTTGAACCGGTCGGACCGGTATTCAGTAATGAAAACGACTCGGTTTATACAAAAAAATCATTTGAGGTCAAAACCGGTCAAAACCGGTTAAAATCGTTCAAAATCAATCAAAATCGATAAAACCAGTAAAACCGATAGAACCAGAAAAACTACCGGTTCAATTTCTTATGCAATTTTCTTTTTTGTTTTTTCAATTTCACCCTCACCATTCTTTTCTTATATCGATTTTAACCCTTAATTTTAATGAAATTACAAAATTACCTATCCCTCTCATCAAATTTCCCTTGTTATTTGAATCGGTCGATTCACCGATTGAATCGATTGAACCGATCAAATCGAAAACCGAACCTAAAAATGGTTCAATGACCGATCCGGTTTTAAAAACCTTGGGAATTAGCATTGTCATTTAAAAACTCATTTAGCCAAAAAAACCCCTTTTTTTTTAAATTTATGATCTCTTTTAAAAATTAAATCTTGATCAATAAATAAAATATTATTAATAATTAATTATATCGTAAATTGCATATAAGAAGATGTAAAATCTAGTTCCATTCGGTATAATTGCTGATATGTATTCCACGTTGGGTTCTAGTTAACTTTCAAATTCCTCCGTTTAATATTATACCTTTTTTGCTCATTCTTGATTTGATTCCTTCTTCCCCATCATCATACGTTTCGGAATTGTTTTTCAAGCCTGAGAACTGATCTTAGACTTTCTTGCAATTTCTTTCATATCTTTATCTTACTCGCTCAGTAAGGAGAGTGTACGACACTTACCAATTGAACATTAGTGAGATCCTTACGTTACAAATTTGTTAAAGGGTTGTGATTATGCTTTTCACCAAATTTTAATTTTATAATGGGAGATCATTCTTTATTAATTATGCATGAGTTAATATTTATTTATTTACTATTAATTATCAATTATTAAAATTTATTGTCAAAAAATAACATCAACAATTTAGTTTTACACTTTTAATTATCTCTTAACCTTTTTCAATTTTTTTTAATGAGCATTCATTTCCAATTAAGTTCTTAAAATTTAAAAGGTTTATATCATAAAAATATAGTAAAAATTCTCTATTTTTTTAATAAAATAAAAATTCTAAGAACAACAACACTTATTCTCTATAAAAGTGTCATTAGTTTAAATAAAACTTAAAGACTCGAGGACTACTAAGTCTTAAGCTTTGTTTCCATAATTTCATTAAACTTGTACATTTAACGAAGACATGCCACTAAATGGGACATTCAGCCAAACATGAACAGGAACCAGCGGGCTTCTGCGGTGGCGCGTACATGACACGTAGTACGGTGGACGGCCGGGATGAAGGTGGATATCTGAGGAAGAGGAATGCAAGGAACGTGGACACATGTTGGAAGGTTCTTATTTTGGTTGGCAGCTGAGTTTTCTTGACTATATGTTAAATATTTTTTTTCCTTTTTCCTGTTTGCTTTTACATGGTTTCCTAATTGTGGGCTGACCGTCTTTTCCACCAACCAAAGCTCTGCTTTCCCACTTGCTTCATTTTGAAAATCTAAAGGTTTTCTAATAAAAAAAATTTTGACTTTTATAATCAGCGATGGTAATGGATAACTACTCCTTATACTGTGAGCGCATGACTTAAGAGGAAAATGTACAAGGTTAACTTTATTAAAGAATGAAAATAAACATGTGACTATAGACATTATTCAATGATATGAGAGTAATTAAACTAATCATAAAGTATTTAATTTGATGCAAGTAGTATAAGTGGGAATCGTTGGAGTTTGGAACCCTTTAAAGTAGAAAATATTGTTTATCCAATAAAATGCATTTCCTTAAAACATTCATAGCATGCTTATGTTGAGGTAAATGAGCAAGAAAGGAAAAGATTTTCATCCAATGCCTTTGTTCGATTGATTGTTCAAATAAAAAATATATATAGTACAGTTTAAATTGTATAATTACATAATATAAACTATTAAATAATGATTAATCTTTTAATATTAAAATTTTTTATTTAATAATTAATATTTTATAATTCTATAAAATTAAGATTATAAAACAAAAAACTCTTGTTCGAAAGTCCTCTCTTTCTCTCTTTTCTTCTTCCTCTTTTTTTTTTTTTGCCTCAACCCCAGAGACCAATGTTATTAATATCATACCATACAAGTTGGTACAGTCAGTACATATTGTTTTTTACATTAAATTGAAATGGTACATGGTCTAATTTCATTTCGGTCAAATTTTGGTATATCAATCAGTATTTCGATATACTGGCCAATACACGAAAATTGACCAGTAGAACTCAATTCAAATTTAAAAAGGGTAAATTCCATTTTTAGTCTTCGACTTTAATGTTTTACTTAATTTT